ACCGCAGTCAGGTGTTTAATGGGTCCAGTAGCAGCACTTACTACACTGACACATTCTTCATCGTCAGTGCTCCTGTTATCAGTGCTTCCGCCATCATTTTTCTTGCAGGCCAAAGCCAATAGGCCCATAGCCTCCTGTATTAGTACCTTTTTATCCGTACAGCAGAACATACAAAGCCAATGCGAGTTAGGCTTCGAGCATCTTTTGTAAGCCGTCGGACTTAGTCGTGTACACATTTTGTGATACCACTTTTTACAGTCGTCACACTGCATTCCCTCCTCAACGGAGAACAAACAATTTGGTTGCCCACATTTGTGAGTCTTACCAACCATTGTAATTCGATTTAAAAGGTTTAAAAACAAAAAATGATAACAATGTGAACACAAGTGTTAGTCAAGGACTAAAAACAGGTACTCAGGACAAAATTTAGTAAAAAATTTCAAACTTTAACCAAAGAACTCTTAGTTAAAGTAGACCAAGAATGCTTTTTAGTGCAATAAGTACCAAAAGCAAGTATAATCACAACAAGTACAAAAATCACTGCCCTTTTTGAACGAACCATCAAAGCTAATTATTTGATATAGATGATCAACTTTTATTATCGATTGAGATAGTAAGTTATGTGAACTAATAGATAAAACATTACGATAATATATGTGACCATTAATCAAAGGACTATACGAATACTGGGTTTACAAAAATAAAAACCGATTGAGAAGGTTAAGGTGGAAATAAGGATTACCAGTAATGGGTTGCGTTTCTTTAGTTGAGCTCACCAATGTAGAATTATGGTCTACTATGATATTAGTACTGCTCTAATAATAGACCTAATCCGAAATTTGTAGATTTGTCATGATATAACTGCCTAATCTATAAGATCTTACGTAGAAGTCACACCATCGACTACACCAACTCACTGTATCGTATCAATTACCAATACATGATGTAGAACAACGTTAGGCTAGAGAAAGAACAATATATTTAATATGAATAGAAGATATAAGGTAACATTCAGCGGAGACCACGCATGCATGGCCGAGTCATGCCATTCGATCAACTCCAATTCATTCAACTCATTGTTCGCGCCTTCTCCATTGTTAGGTATTTCTCCGCGTTAAATATTGAATATCTATTTTCTGAGTAGTCTCGTGTTCACAGCTTTGTGGATTGTGTGGTTATTGTCCAATGCCACTACAGTTCTGACTATGGTATTTGTCGACAGCTGTTTGAGTTCCATATGTTCTTCAGTTGTGACATTGCTTTCTTTTTCTAGCCAACCCTTGCATTCACATCTGAGTCAGACCCTCCATGTTTATCGAAGATACTATCCAGGAATATGAACGTTTTCACTTCTTCCAGAGTTTCTCCATCAAGTGTCGTTAGGTAAGTGTTCTCCGTGTTCTATGTTGAGGCCTACTGATTCAGGGACCATTGCTACACTGGTTGACCTGCATTTGTTCGTGTGTCTGAGAAAGAAGAGCTAGGTCACCACGGGAATTTATCTGGGATTACTTTCGAGAAATACAAACTAATGTGTTCAAGTTGAAGTCTTCGACTGACTGCTGTGAACGTCAATTCTATTCATTCCCGACCTCCAACCGCTTGTCATAACGCAGCCCACAAAGCACTTCAACTCTCATATTGAACTCTAGAGTCATATTGACACTATTATTCTAGTGTATGAAAATTTATATCCCGTTTATATTGCCAATGTGTTACATAACACATCAATATAATTGATGAATCTACTAAAGTAAAGCCTGTAGTATTTGTAGCAACTTGATCTTGACTGTAAACTGGCATGCCCCATATAACACATTGTTGTCTGAAAATGTATCATTATTGTTGTAATTATTAGGAAATATAATCTCTATACAAAATAGGGAATTGAACGATTAGTTAGGCTATAATGCTCCGATATTTACTTAGATGCTCGAGGTCAACTCTTGAACAATCATCCCAAGCTGTTATAATGTCTCCAGAACGCTTGAACGACTACTGCGCTTAGGATACTTCATGACATTATGTTTTATCACGTTTGTTTATGTAGTTGTATCGGGAAACATTTTTCTAATATGCTCATTTGTGTGCTCAACGTTTTCGTTTAAAAATCTCAAAAATCATTATGTAAAGTTTTTTGCCTTACTGTACATCATCAATGCACACGTACAACAGTATTTTTCTTTTATCATATATTTTGTGCCCTTTCTCCGTACGAGTGTATTTAGACATGTATTTACAGTAACTTTCCTTTCTAGGACGGCTGTAAAAGATGAAAATCGACGGAAAATACGATGAATAGAAACGTACATTGTGCATTTTTTCGTTGTTATGAAGCACAACTTGGTCCAGTTTCATGCAACCATCTCGAGAAAAATGCTAATGGTTGTCAGGTGTGGTATACCCATTGTTATAGCTCTCCTTCGATTTCCATGTCGGATACGTCTACTGAGACACTAATATGTGCTTCGATGTCTTGATATATGAGCATTGTTGCCTTGGCGATAAGTTCCTTAACTATGGAGAATGCTTTATTCGCTTCGTCGTCCGAATTGATGAGTTTCATATCTTCACGAAGTTGGTCTGTTAAGAATCTCATGAGAGACACGAATTCGTTATATACAGTCAATAGGAACTTAATAGACCGTTGAACGTGCGCACTTACCTGACTGTGGTCGATTCAGGGTGATCGAGAATGGCCACCACTTTGCTTTTCAGTGGACGGATGCCGTAAGTCTTAGTAGTGTGTCCGAGAAAATCTAGAGAGTCGATTCCGATTTGACATTTCTGAATCTTAACAGAAATGCCATGTTTTTGGAGTCGTTCGAAAGCAAGGTCCAGATGCTGGAGATGAGATTCTCTGTCCGGACGTGAGATCGATCAGTCATCAACATTCACATGTACGAAGTTGAGACCTCAAGAAACGTCATCTATGAACCTTTGGAAAGTTTGTGCAGCATTTCTTAAACCGAAAATCATATGCAAAATTCGCGGAGTCCGAAGGTAGTGGTGATAACGGTTTTAGGCTTGTTGTCTTCATACATAGGATTTTGATTACGTGATTTAACTAGATTGATTTTGGAGAACACAGTTGTACTTTTTAAGGTGGCCGTCAAATCGTGAATGTGAGGTGACGGGTAACATTTAGAAATGGTTTCACATTTGGTCACCGATAGTCACCAGTTGGACGCCAGCCATTGTTGTTCTTTTTAGGGATCATGCGCAAGGGAGATGCTCATGGGCTGTTTCATGACCGAACGATTCCCAAGTCTATCATGTGGTTGAATTCGTTCTAAGCCAACCTCAGCTTTTCGGGAGCTAGCCGGCGCGCTTTCGAGAAAACAGGTGGTACTGTAGTAATGATATGAATTGTAATGTTGCTAGTGACACATGACAGTTCAGGTCGCGTTTTGTGTATCTCAGTGCAATTATCGAGTATTTGTTGATAGTATGGACCTTGCTGTGTCTGGGGATAATCTACATCCGGAGAAAGAAGTTACACAAACACATAGTTTGGTATCTCCCTCTACTCACCTCCATTTGCTCGGTTTCATGAGTAGATTATCATGTTGTGACAGGTCTATACCAATGAAACATCTACAACAACGAAAATTCAATGAGCGGGCTTGCGAAGCTTCACGTGAGGATAAACGTATTTCTTACGGTATATGGCAGTTGGTCGATATGACAGAACTTCATTCACCACACTAGTAATGTACGACAGATGGCTATATCCATTGGTTACGGTTGTTGTTAACAGGGTCGGTGAGAAAGCTTCCCGAAAAGTTTTTCGTGTCGAACGGCTCGGAGATTGGGAAACTGTATTTTTTCCTGCAGCGGTATTGTGGTACCAGCACTACTCAGGATTACCTGCCTCTCGTGATCTAGAGACAGATGTTTTTTCGAAATGGGTTTCTTCAAGTATTTCGAGAGCGTCTGATATTATGATGAACATTAAGACAACGTATGAGAGTATGACAGAGGTCTGAAACACCATTTTGTGTTGACTGATGCTAAGTCTTGTTGCAGCTCGATGTTGTGGAAAGTCTGGTCTAATCTTTGTCAGTGGTTTAGGTTGTAGTGGCATTAGACACTAGCTACACGACCTTTGAAAGCGAGCATTTAAATACCAAAAACACTTATATTCAACAATTGACACTGAGAGATGGTTAACCATGAAAAGGATCTTGTGTTGAGAAACATAAAAAGGTTTCCACTTTTAAGAATAATTTTTCTTTGAATTATCGTAAGGTTAAGAAACATCACTAGTAGACAGACTTGGTGTGACGTGCTTGTTAAAATCTCACGACAGTGCCTTCAGTACTGCGGGAAGTTGCGCACGTGGAAGTTATCCTCCGTGTCACAGGACCAGACATCGAGATTATCGAGCCAGAATGGCATGCGTCGAGAGGTGTGAGGCGATAGAGTCTTAAAACCAAGCAGCTTAGGAACTCGTTCCGTCATAAGGGAGATAAGATATATAACTAGGCGAAAAAATAACCGGAAATGTAGGCACAACAATAATTAATTGGTTGGATGTTGTGTTAACCACAAAGAACAAACTCAGAACTTATCGTGTGATGTACCAGATCACGTTGGTCACACTACTAAAGATGCCACGAGTAGTTGGAATTTGACAACGCCATTACGCTGGACACCTTTATGATCAAAGCATACTAATCCAGTCAAATCAAAGGTCAGAAGTGAAGGATTTTGATGATATATTAGGAAGACTGTCGATATACTGAGAAGCAGTTGGTTTAAGCTGGCTGGCAGTTATAAGGAATGATTAGTACGTAGTAACCATTCGTGATCTGGTGAGAGTGTGTGACTGAGCACATTCAGTTGTTATTTCGTATTTGAGTTGGGAGAGAAGTGTGGTTTTTTCAAGCAAAAGTGTTTAATACATAAATTAAAGACATTCGTTTTCTGAACAACGGGGATTCTATATCTATACTCTTGTTTAAAAGTTATTGAATACCACCGTCCCACTTTCGTTGTTTTAATGTGTAGTCACCCGTTGCGTCAGACCTACACTCTTGGCGTCGTCTTTCTTTGGATTCTAATTCCAAGTTAGATTGTAAGTCTATCTAAAGTCGACTTGCGTACTAATTAGTGTGGATAGACTGGGTGCCCATCCTGTTTCATGGTTGAAGGCTGTAATCATCCACAGGCAGATGGTAGTTGGTGTCATCGAAAATGGCTATCAACATCAATCGAGAGGTTGAAGATACCTTTTACAGGTATAAAATGCCGAAACTTACTGCCAAGGTATGGTTTTAACTTTGTATTGAGATTTTTGTAGGTAGAGGGCAAAGGGAATGGTATTAAAACAGTCATCGTAAATGTGTCAGATATCGCCAAAGCATTGTACCGAAAACCAATTTGTATGTCTTTTTTCACTCCGTGAACTCTTTTAGATCTCACTAAGTTTTTCGGGTGTGAGCTAGGGGCTCAAATCCATGTAGACGAGAAGAATGAACGCTATATCGTTAATGGTGCTCATCAAGCAGAGAAATTGCAGGAACTACTAGATGGTTTCATTAAAAAGTTTGTGTTGTGCCAGAGCTGTGGGAATCCGGAGACTACCATGGTAAGTTCTGTTAAAAATTAATCTCTTCGACAGCACGTCAACAAACGAGGAGGTACAGTTGCTACAACATGTAAAGCATGTGGCAGTCAGGGACAACTGGACGTTACTCACAGACTGACCCAGTACATAGTCAAAAACCCTCCAGAACCAGAAGCTACTCCAGCTAAATCTAAGCAAAAGAAAGGAAAGAAGACGAAAGGTGAAAATGAAGGTAAGAGAACTAATAAGCCGTTACTGGCAGATGACGATAATGAAGCAAACCCTAATGGAGATGAGAATAGTCGCAGCAGTCCTGTTAATGCTGATGAAGATAATGAAGATGATGACTGGCTAGAGGACACTACTGAGGAAGCGCGACGCCAGAGGATCAACACTTTATCAGCCATGGCAAAGTCCCTTGCTTTATGTGACGACGTGGAGCGCTCTGAAACGGAGAGAGCAGATATTTTCTACAAACACTTGTCACAAATGCATCAGAATGACAAAGTCCTGGCAAACCGTAAAGAGGTGAAACTGGAAGCCGACCGTCTTAATCTTGGTCCACGTGCCGTGTTGGTTATCGCAGAGGTGTTATTTAATAACCCATCTACTATTCTGAATGATATTAAGAAATATGCCTCACTATTACTTTTGTTCACTCGGTCGGGTGAAGATCAGAAACGAGCCCAAATGTACACATGGGGTGCCATGGCGAAGCTTATCGAAAGACATTCGGACCAAAATCTAATAGATAAGGCGTGTCATCTTCTTAAGACATTGTACGATTGCGACGTTATCGAGGAAGACGTTATTTTGGATTGGTACGACAAAGGAGTAAGTACTTTATTTAAGCTACATTAAATCATAGCCTTCAAAAAAATTTGTATCTCGCGAGTTAAGTGCAAAAATACTGGCTCGCTGCTCTCCTATGGTGACATGGTTGCGACAAGCTGAAGAGGAAGAGTCGGAAAGTTCTGAAGAGGAGTCTGAAGCTAATAACCACACAGTAAGTTCTTTTATTAACTGACTCGCTCTTAGATTACTCAACCTATTAATGGGTCAAACAGTGCCAAGGTTCCTGCCACTAATGTGACGGATGATGAAGATGACGATGTGGACATAGATGCTATATAAAACGTCACACCAAACCGTGTTGAACTACTGAGCTACCAAGCTTTAACCCGTCTCTGATTCCTAATTTTTTGTTGTCGTTTTCTAATAAATATATTCCTGCCTGGTAATTTAAAAGGCGAGTTCTTCGGTTTGTGCGTTGTTACTGTGAGGAGCCTGTTAGACTGCTCGAACGTTCAGTGTGGTCCATTGAGTAATGTATTACCGTTCACTAGGTGGGTTGCGGAGTTATGTTCCTTGGGTCGAGAGATGTGTAGTGCTAATTATGGTGTACTTTGTAATGCTTTTTTTGTGCGTGGGACTTATTGCGTTGTCCGGCCACGTGACGTGGCTTTCTGGTCGTAAAAATATATGGGGGGGGGGTACGCCTGATGTGTTAACTGCAAAGAAATAAGGTGGGTTAGACAACAGCTCACTGGAGGGGGGTTAGTTCGCCACTTTCCGTGAGGACAGTGTACACATCGCGACGCCGACTTACCGTATATACGTGTTGTCTTGGTCCATTTCACTCCTGAGGTTAAGCCTGCGTTATATTTATTTCTTTCGGGTTACCAAATAGCATGTCAAGCTCTGGTAACAGTATTTCCTGGTCGCTAGCATGCATTTACTGCTGTCTCGTGCCCTAAGTCTCGGTGTGGTAACGAACTGATTCTTCGATCAAATGGGGATAAAATATTTGTAGTGTCCTAAAGAGTAGGGAAATTGGGTCTTGACGTCGGTGACTCAAGCCATTTGTTCATAGTGTGGGTAGACAAGTTGAGAAGTACACAGAAGCAATGAGAAGGTAATTAGTACGATCACTCAAGATAGTGGGACCTAGCGATATTTGGGGAACTTCAGTTACTCCCTTTCCTTTGGATTTGGAGAGGCATTTCTCCATTATCTCAATATTTTCCTAATACTGGCTTTGTGGTTATTGGAGATGCCAAGCACTGCTATTCTCGATCTAATTTGCAGTCTTTCAAGTTCTACTCTGGGATATTGCATATATGACAATCTACCCAATGCTTGCCTTGTTTGGAATTATCAAATTATGATTGTAGTCAATAATCTTGAATCATAAATGGCAATAATTGGTGGAGATTTGTAGCTTAGGTGGGTAATTTGCTGGAGTTTGGTCTGAGGTGGATGGTTCACTGATGGGGCTTTCATCGTTTTTCTGAACGACTTACCTGAGTCTTGGGTTTCGATGTCCTTTGATCTGTATATACTCATTCGTTTTTGCCCAATACTCAATGTTCATCATTGCTAGTGGGATTATTTTAACTTCATTCATCTTATTAATCTCACGTCGTTATACCGACATTGTAAAAGAACTTAAGCTAATGTATACTTGTCCGTGGCTCGACGCTGACTATGATTTATACCGCTTACATTCTCGATGTGGTTCAAAATGTTATTAGTCATTGTATATGTCCAGCCTAACATGTGAGATCTGAAAACTTGATAGGAAAGATTAGGTATCGAAGATACGACTCGGAAATAATTTATAAACTAGTGAATAAAACGAAAAAGGTTATGAGGAGTTTAGAGTCTCAGGATTTGGAGAAAGACAAAGAATGGATGCACCTGCGCCATTCCAAACGATTTTGAGCCAATATCGTTCGAAGTCTGACCATTGGTTACGATAATCACACGGACTACAACCAGCTAATCTATACCTATTAACATGGTTAAGTCCAATTATTAGTGACTTTATGTACTGATGTCATGTTCTTGTTTGGTCGCCCCTGGCTTCTAGCTTGCTGCACCGAAAAGCATCACCCGTCGAGGTAGGTGGTGGTTGGGCATACGCAACACACATCCCAACCACCTCAGTTGATGAAGATTTACTACCTCATCATTCGGTTTTCCATCCTTATCTGGTACTCTGTTCTTAACCCGGACATTGCCAACTGCGTGGTCGCGAAATGCACGGACACTTACTATCGAATACTAGTAACTTACGAATATGCTCTACTCTTAATGGTCATGTTTCATATCCATAAAGTAGAACAGAGCAAACTGCTTCTCGGTAAACTCACCCTTTGGTTGGAAGACGGATATCTCGCTTACACTACAAGTGACGCAAGTTGGCAAAGGCCAGTCGAGTCTTCTGAGTCCATGCCGAGATTTCTTCAGACACTAGACCATCAGTACTGGTGAGACTCCTAATATAAATGAAACGGTCAATGCGTCCAACTACTTTACTACTTATTCAGGTGATGACGCAAGCCGCTCTTGAAGTAACATTTTACGTTTAGAGGGAGAGAACTGCATCCCAAACATGTTTGAACTACTGCTTACGATGGTCAGAAGACCCTGTATTTTATCAGCGTCTTCCACAAACAGAACTATATCATCTCCATATTCTAAGTCAGTAAGTGAATCTCCTGGTCTGGACTTGCAGAGTTTGCTGTTATCAGTTTTATGTCTGTTACTTAAAAAGATGATGAGGGAAAGCCTAAAAATCCTTTATTTATATTTGTCTTATACTTACCATAAAGTTGCGATAATCTCTAGAAGCGATCGTTTACGAGTAGAGTGTAGATTAATTATGCAGCTTCTATGTGAATTAAGCTCTGTTGATTCTGTCCAGGACGAGAGTGAAAGCTTCTCAATTAAATCACACATCTTGAAGAACACAACGGAAAACATTCACTTTAGCTACAGATTCACTATTATTATCATTGTTACTATTTTAATAGCTTTCCAAATTAATTTTCGTCCCTCTTTGCGCTTCTACTTTTAGTTGCTTCTGGTACAATTTCACTTAGTCGTTTGAATACCTTCACCCTAAATTAATAAAACAAGGAAACAATTAGTTTAGTTAACAAATTGTGTTCATATTATAGTACACTGTTACGTCTTGATTTACAATTACGTTATAAGAATTGATTACAAATTTATGTTGTAATCATAAACACTATATGCTTTGACATTATAATATTCATGATTTCGTTATTGTAACTATTGTGGCGAGTCAAATAGATCAATTCCAATAGAATGATAAGGCTATTACAAAAATCGGTTAGAGATGATTAATAATATATATCGAAATATAAATTATACACAAATAAAAATATGAGACATTACTTAAATTGTCAGAAGAAGGCGTGTTCGGGTGTGTATCCAGATTAATCATATAATGAGTATATCAGTATAATCTTTAAATATAGAAAGAAAATATTATTATAACAGCTGATAAGTAAGAACGAGAAGTATATGTGTGCAATAGTGTATTTGTAAGTGATAATCAATAAATTATGCCATGATAGTACAAAATAGCAATAGTGGTATGGAGGTTAAGCGTTCGCGCATGAGATCGATAGGTTCGGGGTCCAAATTCCTCAGGATGTGTTCATGGATGTGCACTGCTGAGGAGTCCCAAACTAGGACGAAACGGCTGTCCAGTGCTTACAGGTTTTCCATGAACTCAATTATTAAATTACTATAATATCCACAAAACTCCTTTCTGATTATAATTTTACCCATAAAATTCCTTACGTTCTCTTAAAAGCACAAAAAAACATTCAGCTGACATCTTCTGGCCTATACGATTTAGAACGAGATATTTAAATACGTCCTAAGAATCAATTCTATTTTACAACATAATGTCTATTCGTAATTCACGCTTTGCAAACAAAAATACGTTAGAGTAAACTAATTGTGTACAATAAACTAAATGACTGAATTGTCTGTTACTTTAGTGATCCTCATATGATCTAGATGTATATATAGTTTTAATCAATAAACATTTGATATGATTAATGAGTATCGACTGATTACCAATGTTTATTTTATATATAGAATGAGTATGAATTGATTCCAACGAATAGAACATGAATATCGAGAAAGACTGATTGCTGCCTTTCAGAATTCAATTAATTTTCCTCAGTTTTCATCATTTGTTTCTAACAGGTTATTCAAGTATATCTCAAGGACTGATAGATTATATGACAGAGCACACTTTGTTGATATATAACTGTAACCTATTGCTAATATGGGTGAGATTTCCATCAAATGGTATATTCAAAGCATTTTCAATATTTGCTATGGTTATTAGGTTAACGATATTCAATGATCACTCGGCTAAACAGATAAGACAGTTGATAGGATTATAAATCCTCATCAACATAATTAACTAGTACTTTACAAATTCATCCAAACACCATCAATTTCAAAATTCTATCTCAGCTGGAGTGATAGCAGAATGAAAAAAAGGGTTATTAGATCATAACATCAATCATCAAAGATTTTACATGTTAGAAACTGCGTATATTTTTATTGGGTTCAACGAGACAGATGGAACAAATGACTCTCAACCTAGAATGACAATAGTCAAAATCTATGAAAATAAGGAAGATACATAATCTCTGTCTCTATAAATACGGAGAATCGTTACTAATTTTTTCACTGTTATTGCATTCTCTGAGCTGGATGGTTTAATGACGAAAATTTCATTATCATTCTAGATAATGTTATCAGAACCTTTAGTCTAGAAAACACTTACTTACTTACTTACTTACTTACTTACTTACTTACTTACTTACTTACTTACTTACTTACTTACTTACTTACTTACTTACTTACTTACTTACTTACTTACTTACTTACTTACTTACTTACTTACTTACTTACTTACTTACTTACTTACTTACTTACTTACTTACTTACTTACTTACTTACTTACTTACTTACTTACTTACTTACTTACTTACTTACTTACTTACTTACTTACTTACTTACTTACTTACTTACTTACTTACTTACTTACTTACTTACTTACTTACTTACTTACTTACTTACTTACTTACTTACTTACTTACTTACTTACTTACTTACTTACTTACTTACTTACTTACTTACTTACTTACTTACTTACTTACTTACTTACTTACTTACTTACTTACTTACTTACTTACTTACTTACTTACTTACTTACTTACTTACTTACTTACTTACTTACTTACTTACTTACTTACTTACTTACTTACTTACTTACTTACTTACTTACTTACTTACTTACTTACTTACTTACTTACTTACTTACTTACTTACTTACTTACTTACTTACTTACTTACTTACTTACTTACTTACTTACTTACTTACTTACTTACTTACTTACTTACTTACTTACTTACTTACTTACTTACTTACTTACTTACTTACTTACTTACTTACTTACTTACTTACTTACTTACTTACTTACTTACTTACTTACTTACTTACTTACTTACTTACTTACTTACTTACTTACTTACTTACTTACTTACTTACTTACTTACTTACTTACTTACTTACTTACTTACTTACTTACTTACTTACTTACTTACTTACTTACTTACTTACTTACTTACTTACTTACTTACTTACTTACTTACTTACTTACTTACTTACTTACTTACTTACTTACTTACTTACTTACTTACTTACTTACTTACTTACTTACTTACTTACTTACTTACTTACTTACTTACTTACTTACTTACTTACTTACTTACTTACTTACTTACTTACTTACTTACTTACTTACTTACTTACTTACTTACTTACTT